AACTTTTAACAGCCTGCCAAAAAAAATGAGCTACACATTTCAACACATTGTACAACAACAACAAAATTGCAGATTTCAACACATTTTCTGTCCATTTTAGCAAGAAACATACTCGGTTAGACACAGTCGTCAAATATGATCTGGAATTTTCAGTGGTATCACTTAAAGAATATTCAGTGTCATTTGCAATCAATGAATTTTCAATTTATGGTGAGACTCGAATTTGGGATGATAATTTTTATTGTTATTTCTTCATTATGAGATTTTTAGCAATCCCATCAACATAAACAATGCTTGACATATATCCAACAGTTGAACGCTTTATCCAAAGCGAAGAACCAGGGCCGATTCAACAAGATTGGAGGCCTAAAGCGAAACTTAAGGGAGGAGTCCTAATATTTTTTTTTTCTTCATATATATTTTTATTTAAAATATACTAATCTAGCTTTTTTAGATGTGAAATCATTAGTTACTGTTTTATAATTGATTTGTTTTAATAATTCTTTTTCCAATTGATAATATAGCTAATTCATTCAATCTCTATTAAGACATTGTTGATCTTAAATAAGATTTAGTCGATTTTAGTTTCGAAAAACTTCTTTCGGCTTAGGGAACAGTTAGAGGAACGGTTAACATTATTCAATAAGCAATATGTGCATTTGGAAATAAACAAATTTGTGTTTGTGTGTGAGAGAGATTTTCATCAAATTATTTCTTATGAAATTCAGGTTCTATAGTTATTTCATATGCAATTTCCTTAGTAGAAATCATAACACTTATAGTACATATAATTTTCTTTAAAAAATAATATTTATAAGTAATTTTTTTTTTAAAATAGAGCCCAAAAAAATATAAAACACCAAGCGATGATTTTAATGGCCTAGGAGTTAAGACGGTCTTGCGTAGAACCTATCAACAATAGATTTGACCTTCTTTTTTTTTGGTAAAGATTTGACCTTTGATGTAACACAAATCTTCCCAATTTGAATATTGAATTACTTAGGTGTATAATTCAACAACAAATAGTTATAGGTGTTGTTAGTCAAACGATACCAGTAATTGGGTATACGGTATGACAGTGTGGCTTCGACATACTATCGTAATTTTAGTTAGAATGTACAAAAATGTGGTAATTTATTATTATATTACAAACTTTTAAATATACATCTTTTTTATAAAGATCCACTAGATAACTAATTAATTTTTAATACAATATATTTCACATCTAGCATGAGCATGAGTTCTTTTTATAAAATTTAAAATAATGAATCTTTATATATATAATATACACTTATGAATCAAATTTTATATAAAAAGAAATTGGAATCATAATTTTTAATTTAAAATCCTACTTTTTTGAAGAATTTAATAGCTGAAATTGAAGTTGAAATAAACCTCTAATTTCAAAATTCAAACATAAAATTGAGATCATGAATCTTATGTGTGAATGAAGTGAAAATTTCATATATGACATATATTAGACTAATATTTTCAAGTTATAGCAATAGAATTAAACTTTCAAGTTGTAACAATAAAAAATTTCAAGTTATAACAGTTTCTTTAAAAAAAAACTTTTTTTAAATAATTGTAAAAATTTGTTTTGAAAAAAATAAAAAGATAAAAAAAAAACCGTTTCTGAAAAAAGAAGAAGGTAAAAGAACGAAATAAGTGTGTTAATTAAATTTGAATTGATTGAAGATAATTACTAATTAGCATAAATTAAGGAAATTCAAACTAATTAAGAATATTTAGTTTCCTTAATTCACTCTAATTTGTTAAAATTAATAAAAAAAATTTGATTTCATCCATTTTCTTTCACGTTTCTTTCTCTTCTATTTTTTTCCAGAAATCTTGTCACTCCCATCTAATTCATATTCGTTTTTATTCAATAATCTTTATTTTCTAGACAGCTTCTTATTAGTATTAATAAAACATGGTGGTAGATGGGATCCTTCAGGTTAGTGTTCTTTGCGATTTTTTATTTGTATTGTAATACAAACCAAACGTTCAAAAAAATTATGAACAGTGATTCTGGAAAAAAAATTATTCAGATTTTGTTTGTGAATAATAGTTTTAATTATGGCTTTTTTGGTATGAATATTCACTTTTGAAATTACATAAATTTTGTTTGAAATTTGTATAGATTTTTGTTTGAACATTCATTTTTTTGTATGTTTCTGGTTAAAAAACTACATAAAATTTATTTGAATTTGGTATATTGGTTATACCATGTTGGTATGCTTTTAGAATTATATTTGAATGAATTTCGTATACTATTTGTCTAATAAATGACAATTAATAGTTAAAAGTTGTATTATTTTGGTATTATAGTAGCATGATTCTGTTGTGAAAAAGTGACGACTTATGTCATGAAATAGGTATAATTTTGGCATGAAATTGGTATGAAAAATGTGCATAATAATTCTATGAAATTTGTAGACTTATTTCAGATTTTTTTGTTGTGTATAATAATTTGAATTATGACATTTTAAAAAAAAAATGTATAATGTTATATTTTGGTATGAACATTAATTTTGATCATTATTTGTCTGACGCATTTTTTTTGGGGTATATTTTTGGTTAAAAAATAGATAGTTTTTTCTTTGGAATTTGTATACTTATACTACCAGGCATGTATGACAATCGATAATGTTTTGGTACGATTTTTGGTTTGATTGGATTTTTTTTTGGCATTATATTGTAATGAATTTTGAGAATAATAATGTAATGAATTTGGTATATTGTTTATTAAAGAAATGACAATTAATATTTCTAAGTTGGAATTATTTTGGTATTCTAGTGGCATGATCCTTGTATGAATAATTGATAACTTTTGGCATGAAATAGGTAAGAAATGTGTGAATAAGAATTGTATGAAATTTGTATACTGATATAACACATGTGTTTTTACTTTTGTATTTTGTAATAACATATGAAATTGTTTTAAAATAACATATGTATTTTTACTTTTGTATGAATTTTGTAAGCATAAAAATGGTATGAAATTTGTATATTGATATAACATATGTATAAAAGTTATTTGTACTTTTGTATGATATAATATTGCCACAATAATTTATGATGAAACAGAAAAATATGCAATTCAAAAAGTGTCGGAGCAGAAATTATTGTCGTCTGGTTCAAAAAGAACTGTAGGGAGATCACAACTTGTAAATGGTTTGCTGATGTGAAATTCAAGAGGTCTAAGATTACGTGCAGTACATGTCGTAGGGAGAAACACAATAGAAAGACATGTTCAAATTACCCTTCTGAAAAAAAGACATAATTTATTTTTATTTTGATTTGGTTGTTTTATTGTGGCAAACTCATGTTTTGATTTATTTTGTCTTTTAAGTTAATGAATTATAATTTCAGAATATTTATTATGTGTGTTAGTTAATCATTTGTATATTCAGTGTTTTTCAAATGTATACTCAAAAAATAGGTAATGTTTGTATGTGATTGATATTGACTGGAAAAATTAAGTCAAATCTTAGTATGAAATTGGTATACATTTGGTATCCAACTGACGTTCCAGTGGTAAAATTGAAAAAAAAAAATATGTAATTGAGATTTCAATTAAAATAGCCAACATAAAACTAGTTAATATTGTATCCAATTTGTATAAATTTAGTATTGAATTGATATCCCATTGGAATATTGAAAAATCAACATGTGGTTGAGATTTCAATCAAATTAGACAACCTAAAGAAGTTAATGTTGTATTCAATTGGTATCCAACAGATATTCCACTTGAAAATGAAAAAAACAAAATGTAACTGATATTTCAACCAAATTAGACAATCTAAAACAAGTTAATGTTTTATCCAATTTATATACACTTGGTATCCAACTTGAAATTTTAGAACAAAGACAAAAAATAAAAATGTATAAAATTAGTATCCAACGGATATAAATCCGGGAAGAATAAATCTGATTGTAAAACAATGCATATTATATATTGTTGTCAGAAATTGTAGCAAAGGAAATATACATCACCCAAAAATCAAAAGATGGTCTAAACTGCAATAATTAATACAAGTTCTATATTTTCCTCTCTTCAATTTATATTCCGTATTCAAGTGTGATTTTCTTTTATCATATTTAAGCTAAAACTTAAGAAATCCTTATTAAAGATTTTATGATCTCATATTATCTATATATATCAACAAATTTCAGAATTAAATATGCTTAATTCACCAACAAAATAGTATTTTAGATATAGAAAAACACACCAAAAACAAGTTCAAAACTTAAGTAAAACAGTTTTTTTTCTCAAGAAATCAAGTTTTAGATTAATTAAAATAAAAAACGAAATCAAAATTTCAAAATATAGAATTCTTAATTCTAAAAAAATCAGATTAAAAAAAAACTATCAAAATTTAAAATAAAATAAAAACATCAAGAAAAGCAAAAAAAAAAAAAAGGATTAAAGAGAGAGAAAATTACATGTTAAAATATACGGTGATAATTTTTTTAAAAAAATAAAATTTAAAGGCCCCAATAGTCATTAATAAATAAAAGTTATTTGAATAAGTTAAAAAATCTCTTAAAAGGTGTAATAGATAATTACAAATTGATTCTCTCTCATTAATATTATTTCTCTCACCTATTAATTATATAAAAGGAACTGCAATCAATATAATTAAATAATTAATAATATAAAAATATAAAAAGATTAATCACTTAATAAAGTAAATTTTAATTGATTTTAAATAAAGTTATATTTAATTGATTTGTTATAATCCGTAATTAAACTGTTATAAGTAAGAATTTTTTAAGCGTAGATTTAAAACTCGTAATATTGTCTCTTAAATGTGTATATGGTGTGATTTTGCCTACTACATAAAAGATGAAAAAGATTTACAGATTTACACGACTTGGGCTGAAGATAGGCCCACCTTCTATAGGAAACTATGTTAATTCCAGCCCAGTAAACCCAGAAAACTGGGCTTCTGAAGGCCCAAAGTAGTAATAAAACCCTAGTAAAACGCCGTAGATTAAAGAAGAGAAGCAGCTTTCAGAAAAATCCTTCCGCACAACCCAAGGTAAGCCTCCATTGCAGACCACCAGTCGCCAATCCTAACTCCGCCATCATGGGTCGCATGCACAGTCGTGGGTTCGTTATTCTCTCTTTTGAATCTCCATTTTTTTTTCATTTTTCTGAGCATCAATTTGACATCTTCTGTTTCCCCTGTTTTTTATGGTTTCAGTAAGGGTATTTCAGCTTCTGCTCTCCCTTACAAGAGAACTCCTCCTAGTTGGCTCAAGATCTCCGCTCCAGATGTAAATCATCCCACCTTTATTATCTACTACTATATAGATGTTTTTAGAAATTTTAACTAAGTTTTGCTTGTTTTTCTGATTTCAGGTTGAGGACAACATTTGCAAGTTCGCTAAGAAAGGATTGACCCCTTCACAGATTGGTGTGATTCTTCGTGACTCTCATGGAATTGCACAAGTAAAGAGTGTTACTGGTAGCAAGATCTTGCGTATCCTCAAGGCACACGGTACGTTTTTATCATTGTTTATGTGAATGTGGTTTGGTTTATGAGTATTTGAATGAATTTGGTTTGAGATGTATAAGTAATTTGTGGGTTAATTGATAGGGCTTGCACCTGAGATTCCAGAGGATTTGTACCACCTGATTAAGAAGGCTGTTGCCATTAGGAAGCATTTGGAGAGGAACAGGAAGGATAAGGATTCTAAGTTCCGTTTGATTTTGGTGGAGAGCAGGATCCATCGCCTTGCTCGCTATTACAAGAAAACAAAAAAGCTCCCACCTGTCTGGAAATAGTAAGCTTACTTGCTACTCTATCTTGTTTATAATTTTTTGCATTACTTTGAATATCTTAGTGTGGTATTGAGTTGCATTTAGCGCACTGCAAATAGTATGCATTGTTGATTCCGTTAAGATTGCCGGAGTGGTTTGGTTTCACTTTGTTAAACATAGGTTTTCTTATTTGATTTAAGTGAACTGATGATCCCGAAAGATGGGCAGCAATTAGTAGTTTGTTAATGTTAAAGTGAGCCAGCCACACTGGTTCAGAGAATGAGTTGTTGCCTGCTCATACGGTCATTAGGTAATCACCTCGTGAGTTAGCTTTTGGGGAAGCGTTAAGCCTAAACTTCTTCCCTCCCCCACCCCTATTCTTTATTTGCCCAATGCTTAGCCTCCATGTCCTATGTGTACGCTAAAAGAATGGGTTGTTGGGGTGTCTCCCCGCATCATGAGTTTGCTTTTGGAATTGAGCTAGGCATAAGATTTATTTTCCTTACAATTTAAAAAGTTAACTGAAATCTTTCTAATATTTAGGATTATTGGCTGTGATAGGTTTATGCTGTTTTTGATTGTGATGTCCGTCTTAATTGAGCAAAATGAATTGTGAGGATTCATGTGCTAACCCCCCACTAGCTTGGGATCGAGACATGGTTGTCAACTTGTTACCCCCCACTAGCTTGGGATCGAGACATGGTTGTCAACTTGTTATTGTTGTTTGCTTCCCTCTTCTTGATATATGCTCCATTGTAAATGAAATTTCCTGGTTTGTGTATAGCAATCTTTAAAGTTGTAATCAAACCCACCGTTCCTTGACACCTTGTTTCTCTTTTCTAGTTGAACTTTGGTATCATTTTATGTCTAAATTGTGTTTGGTGCATATTATTGAAAAATGCACCAAGAAAACTACTAAACTGTTTAAGGAAAGTTCTGAATGGTGAAGAAGTTGTTTGTTTCCAGGTTTGGGTATATTTTTTCTTTAAATACAGCAAAGTTTTACTTCTTACCATAGTACTCTGGTTTGCTCATAGTGGAATACTTATATACTGGGACGCACAGCATATAATCCGTTGACATTGATTCTTCAATCTGTTCTTTGTTTGCTTTTCTAAATGTTTTTGGTGATTTTCTTATGTGGTTCTGTTCCTGGGTCTTTGGTCTACTGGCAAGAGTTTAGCATGTTTATGTGTGGATTAGGCGCATGTTATGGGTTTGAACCTTGCCCCAAACTAGAACCTGATATTTAATGGAGAAAGAAGGATGGCCCATTATTATCCATTTGAGTTTCGAGCATTGTTCTTGGTTTAAAACAATCTTACAAGTTACATGGTTCTAAAACCAACATGTGCTGTAATTTCCTTTTCTTTTTCCGTTGTTTTTACTACTTTCCTGGTTTAAAAAGCAAGGTGTATGCCATCTTATTCATCTGCAGCAATTCTTATATAACTTAAGGTTGCTGATTATTTTTACTTCCTCTTATGTGCAGCGAATCTACCACTGCCAGCACACTTGTGGCATAGGGTGAGACTTGAGCTGGAGTAGCTTTGGCTGATCGCAATATGTAGTTTTCTTGTGTCATGAATTGTTTGCTAAATCCAATTTTGTTTGATTTAATCATGCTACTCAATGGAAGATAGTTTTCTGGATAGTATTTGCTCCTATTTTTACCAAGTGTTAAGCATAGATACTTTTATTTAGATATTCGAATGAATGACTTGTTTCTCAAGCTCATAGTGGTAACATGAAAGCCAATATCCAACTGGTCTGGCTGCTTGTAATTTGGATTGCTGAAAATTATGGTTTAATGCTCTTCACTTTATGTGCATGGCAGTGAAGTACCACTTTTAAACCTAAAGGGGTCGTTATTCTGTGATTATATTCTTGGGATTGTAATCCTTTTACTAAGCTTGAGTTATTTCATGATTAAGCTTGGATTAAATTTATGCTTGTGTTTGGTTGATGTTAATTTATACCTTCAACTAAATGCATAATAAATTTTATTCCAAGCTTAATCTTGGAATAGTCCACTTCATTGTGCGCACCAAACTACCCCAAAGAGTAGCAGCATAATAATGATGTAGAATTTAGCACCTAAGGGCGTGTCAATGAAGTAGGTGAGTGCCATGAAGTTTTGGATTTAAATCTCAATAATTTTATCTTCTAAGACTAGAACTTATGAGAAAAATCATCTTATGTTCAAGCCTCGGGGATACATAGTTGCTTGATATCTATTGTTAATGGGAGGCGACACATACTTCATAAAATTAGTTGAAGTTTGGATGTATTGAACCTTAATACTGTAATTATCAAAATAAAATAATGAGGTAAGGTCGTTGTATCGTTTATAAAATTATTGTATTCCCCATTCAAGATCACTTCTATGCGGTCACCTGTATTTAGGCCATTTTGGCATACCTAATAATGCAACATTTACACTTTAAATTATGTGTTAAATTTGAAAAGGAAAGAAATAGAAATATACAACAACATTATTTAGAGAAACTTACATAAATATACTATAAATAAAAAATATTTACCATTTATAGCAATAACATTTTTTTTTTTACTTGATCACTTTTAATACATTTATAATACACTTTTAATTCATATTGCAAAGAGCAATTTATTATTCACATATAATACAAGTTTTATTGATGGATAATACATTTATCACACATTTTAATACACTTATAATACAATGTGTTAACTTCTTACCAAACAAGCATAATATATTTTTTAAAACAGTTATAATACATATATATTGCATACTTAATTCACTTTTAATATATATTGCAGATTTAACATAGTATTGCTATAAATAGTAATAAATAAAAAATATCGCTAAAACTCGTAATTATTTATTAAAAGGCACTCATCCAAGTAATTTTTCCCATTATTATTTACTACTCAGTATAATATCATAAAGGGATAGGGGCGAATGGGGCAGGTCCAGAACAACATTGGTAGGGATTGAGCTGGGAATGGGCCTATCCTGGACCAGGACAGATGGGTCAAAATCGATAGTCCCGTCCCGATCTACCTATTTTACGGGATGGAATAGATCACGGCACGATAATTTTTTTTAAAAAAATATTATGAAATATCTAAGTTGTGATTTTTAATTACATATTTTTATTTTTAAAATTTAAATTCTTTATAAATGTTAGATTGTTAGACTTTATAAATTTCAAAGTAAGTTAGCTCAGTAAGAAATAATTTTTTGAAAGTGTTGGAAATTGTAAGTTTGTTAAATTCAATTCCTTGTAAAGTTAGATTGTTAGACTTTCAAATTTTAAAATTCAAAGTAAGTTAGCTATGTAAGTGATAAATTATTAAAGCTTTGTAAATTATAAATTTGTTATTTTAAAAAAAAAAAAAATTCTATTAATTAATATGTTATGTAAGATACGTGACTAGTAGAAACTAGAACATGACCAGATGAATGTTTGTATTGAATTTTAGCAGCTCACTAGACATTAATTATAACTAAAATTACACTTTCCAATTATATCGATACAATTTAATTAATTATCATTAACTTTTTAAAATGTTATGTAAAACTTGTCACTAGCAGAAGTTAGAACATAACAGATAAGTACTCATATTGAAATTTTGGCGAGAGTCTCTAAATAATGGGGGTGGTGGGAATAGAGCTATGTGGGGGGTTTCAATATCAATCCAATCATATAGGTACAATTCAATTAGCTTCTGATACTCTTTTTAATACTGTTATGTACGATTCATCACTAGTAAAAGTTAAAATGTAATAAGATGAGTACTTGTACTGCATTTTAGCGCGATTCACTAGAAATTATAACTAATATTAGACCTTGCAATCACATCTATACAATTTGATTGGGTTTTCATATTTTTTAGAAAATGTTATGTAAGAGTCATCGCCAGTAGAAGTTAGAACATGATAAGATGAGTACTCACGCTGGACTTTAGTGAGACTGACTATACATTAGGGTTGTGGGGATGGGGTTATTGGGGCAAGGATGAAGATGAAGTGTGTTTGGATGGTGAGCAATCAATGTGAAATATTATTTGTGGAATTTGTTTTTCCATACTTTCATTAGGAAAATTATTTTTCATATTTTTAATGAACTTGTTTTTCTACGGAAGTATTTTCTAAAATATGTGATCAATCGAACATGGAAAAGCTAAAAAAAAAAACCTCTATGCCGAACACATCCTTAATTACCATACAAGATTTAATTAAGCAATAATCAAGTCACATCCCACATCGGTGACAACAGACCAAAAGTTTCTTTTTATAAGTACTCAACAAGACAACACATATTGCTGAGCTTAGTAACGTGAGCTTGTAACCCAAGTGGGAGCATTAAGATGATCGGGACGTTCAAATCTTCAGCCCTCGACACAAATAGTGAGTTCATAATAAGTGCATCATGTTTATGGTGAGAGTAAAATAAAGTAATTTTATTAAGCTGGCTTAACAGAGCAGCGGTCTCACCAATGGCCCGAGTTTGGGCAAAGTTTCAAGTCAAACCACTAGAGATGTCAGGTTATTCGTTGAATTGGACCATCATCTTTTAATTAAGGACTAGCTTAATAGAGTTGCATTCCCGCCGATGGCCCAAGTTTGAGGTTGTCAAAAACAAGTGTTTCCGCACAATTTCAAGTCAAATCACTAGAGATGTCAGGTTATTCATTGGTTTGGACCATAATCTTTTAATTTGGGGTTGGCTTAACAAAGCAACGCTCCCGTTGAAGGCTCGATCTTGAGGTTGTCAAAAAATTAGTGTTCCTGCACAGTCCCAACTCAAACCATAAGAAATGTCAGATTGTTCATTGATTTGTACCATCACCTTTTAATTAGGGGCGTAATGGTTCGGTTGGATCGATTATTTTATAAAATTTGTATCAATATCAATTTCTCGATTATTTTAGTTTGTATACAATTAGACTTTCAAATTCATTCCAATCTTATAGGTTTTTCTTTGATATCGATACAATTTAGCTATAACTAAAATTAGATCACTTTTCTAAAACTATTTTAATCATATTGGTACAGTTCGTTTTGATTTATTTTTTAAAAAGTTATGTAAGAGTTACTAGAAAAAGTTAGAAAGTGATAAGATAGACTTGATGAGTTCTCATATTGGACTTTTGGCTTGAATCTCTTAGAATTATAACTAAAATTAGACTTTTCAAAATCATTTCAATTATATCGGTACAATTCAGTTAGATTTCGATACTCTTTTTAAAAATGTTATGTAAGATTCGTCAACAATAAAAGTTAAAACACGGAGATAAAGTACTTCTATTGAATTTTAGCACTATTCACTAGACATTATATCTAGATATAAATCATATTTGAAGAGTGACAAACAATTATGAAAAAATATAATTTTTTTCCTCTTATTATTGACTTATTTTTAATTTTGTTTCTCATATTAATGAAGGCAAAATATTAACCTTCAATTAAACAAAATATGTGATTTAAGTCCCTAAACCAAACTTGAGATTAGGGGTGTGCATCGGTCGGTTCGGTTCGGTTTTATGTATTATTGGTTCGGTTTATCGGTTTTCGGTTTATCGGTTTTGGTCCTTAACGGTTCGATTTTTGGTTTAACCAATAAGAAAATGCTTATAAAACAAATATATGGTTTCTCTAATAAATTATGTAACTTTACAAAAGCTCATAAAATAGAAATAATAATAACAAACATGAAAAGAACTACACATGTGTAAGACAAAGAGAAATCAAGAGGAATATGGTTCTTACTTTAGGTTTTGACGATTTGTATAATGTAAAGTTGTGAATTCAAAGTCACAACGAAGTATGAATTGATGGCTAAATGACAAAGACATAACTATTAAGATATTGAGATTAATATTTACTAATATGTATGTATATGTAAAAGTAGTAAATTACTATAGTCTTAACTCTTAATGGGTTATCGGTTTACCCAATAACCCAATATTGAAAATCAATACCGAACCGATAACCCAATTTTTTTATAAAACTATTAAGAAACCGTTAACCCAATAACCCAATAACACTTTTCTCAATTCAATTTATCGGTTGGTTCAGTTTTTGCACACCCCTACTTGAGATAAACAACATTGGTTTCACGTTTCTATTCATTTCTTTTATTTCTCACCAAAAGTGACCCCTCATTCTTTGAGTGATTCTCATTAATGTATATCTTAAACATTTGAAAAGCGTTTTTATCCAAAATCATATCTTGATAAGGAAAAGGAACCTTCTGCAATCATATTTTTGTCATAATTTCAAGTATGTAGTGGAGATAGAAGCTAATATACAAAAAAAAAATCGTGAAATAATTTTAGTTCAAATTTATTTTAATAGTATTTTTTTACTATTATATATAAAATATTAAATTTATAACTCAATTATTTAAACTTGATTTTAGACCATATGAAATTCAAATGGACACGAAAAATGTGCAAGACATGTTCTTGTAAATCGGTGTAAAATTGTAAAGGAATATAAAATAGAAAAAATTATTGAAGGATTGCTAAATCCGCATTTCCAATTGAGTTGAAGGACATTATAGAGGAAATGAAAAAATTAGGAAGGGATTGTTTGGATGGTTTTCTATTGTAGAACTTATTGGATACATGGTGCAAGAAATATATTCAAGAACATAATAAATGTGATACTATAGACAACAATATGACAGATAGTTTTAATGTGTAGATACTTTCTGCTAGGTATAAAACAAGTAGCACAAT